AGACTTCATGACTAAAATACCAAAAACAATGGCAACAAAAGCCAAAATTGACAAATGGCATCTGATTAAAGAGCTTCTGCACAGCAAAGGAAACTATCATCAGAATGAACAGGCAACCTACAGAATGGGAGAAAATGTTTGTAATCTATCCACCTGACAAAGGGCTAATATCCAGAATCTACAGAGAATTTAAACAAATTTTCAAGAAAAACGCCATCAGAAAGTGGGCAAACTATATGAACAGACGCTTCTCGAAAGAAGACATTTATGCAGCCAACAAACATGAAAAAAAGCTCATCATCACTGGTCATTAGAGAAATGCAAATCAAAATTACAGTGAGATACCATGTCATGCCAGTTAGAATGGCTATCATTAAAAAGTCAGGAAACAACAGGTGCTGGAGAGGATGTGGAGAAGTAGGAATGCTTTTACACTGTTGATGGGAGTGTAAATTAGTTCAACCATTGTGGAAGACAGTGTGGCAATTCCTCGAGGACCTAGAACCAGAAATACCATTTGACCCAGCAATCCCATGATTGTATATACCCAAAGGATTATAAATCATTCTTCTATAAAGATACATGCACATGTATATTTATTCCAACACTGTTCACAATAGCAAAGACTTGGAACCAACCCAAATGCTCATCAATGATAGACTGGATAAAGAAAATGTGGCACATATACACCATGGAATACTATGCAGCCATCAAAAAGGATGAGTTCATGTCCTTTGCAGTGCCATGGATGAAGCTGGAACATCATTCTCAGCAAACTAACACAAGAACAGAAAACCAAACACTGCATGTTCTCACCTATCAGTGAGAGTTAATCAATGACAGGGAGGGGAACATCACACACTGGGCCTTATGGGCGGTGGGTGGCTTGGGGAGGGATAGCATTTGAAGAAATACCTAGTGTAGATGACGGGTTGATGGGTGCAGCAAACCACCATGGCACACGTATACCTACGTAACAAAACTGTACGTTCTGTACATGTACCCCAGAACTTAAAGCGTAATTTTAAAAAAGAAAAAAACCAGTAATTCTAAGATACTCGTGGAACACTGAGTTATTCTTTTAAGGTTTTTCTTGATTATAATTGTCCTTCTAATGAAATCCTTAAGGAAGTCATTAAGATTAGGGGAGTGGCTCTATGTATAGATTCTATAATAATTTTTTAAAGGTAGTTTACAGTATAACCCACACAAAAATACTGAAAATCATATACTATATAATAGCTGAACACTGCAATTAGGAGATAAAACATAGCAACATGTTTTCCATAAGATGTTTGGAACCAAAGGTTTTAATTGTGAAAGGTTTTAATAGTGAAAGATTTGTAAGACAGTTTTCAAAATACACTGAGATGTTTATTTTCTTTATACAAGCTTATTGGCATGGTATGTAAAGTACAGTGATTTTCATATTGGTTAAGGTTTAGTCACTTGATAAAGAGCTATATTATAGATTTTTTTTAAAGGTGCTGAATTTTTAATCTCAAGCTGAGGTGGTTTGTCTTGGTTGTTACAGGATATTCTTCTTACCCAGTAATGATTTAATATACCCATAGGCAAAGTATCAAGAAGAAAGTCATCATATGGATCTGTGAATCTAAATGCAGTTTTAATGTTCGATTTAAAATTAACAGCTGTCACATATGTGCAGTTATGATCTGTTGCTAAACTGAGGAAAAGTAGGACTCTGGGAGGTATTTGCAATACAACCACAAGCAGAATAAGACTCTTAAGAAATACCTAAGAGTACTCATGCATGGTGTCTTCTTGATTTTATATACTGATAAATTAATAGAGAGTGAGGTGGTCTTGGTTGGGTAAGAGAGAAAATATACACAACTTTTAGAACTTAGGGTACTTGATCCATATTTATGCTCTAGTTTCTTCAATAGAGGAGAGTTGCTTTTTAAATCTCTCCTGGACTTGCTATGTTCATTTGACAAAAAGTTACTGCACATCTGTTACATGTTAGGTGAACTGGAGATATAGCAGTGAACAAAATGGACAGCATCCCTGCCCACAAGGAGGTGTGTTCTTGTTTCAGGGCAGATAAGCAATAGAGAAAAATGCAAATATATAATATGTCGGATGGTAACAAGTGCCATGGAGAAGAATAAAGCAGAATAAGGGAGTAAGGGATGTATTGGGAATGGGCTTACCTGTCTATGTAGGGTGTTCAAGGAATACCTCACTCATCAGGTCACATTGGAACAGAGTAAAGGAATTGAGGGAGTCAGCCATGTACTCTCTTATGTCAAGCTGCCTGCTTCATACCTCTGCTTATCTAGTAGGAACCAAAAACTCGACATGTTGAAAACTGAACTCTCAATGCCTTTCTAAACCTCTTCCATCTTCAGTCTTCCTCGTCCAGAAATGCATCGCTGTCACTGTCTATCCAGTTGCTCATATTAAAAGCCTAAGACTTGAGATTGGTTCTTCTTTTTTTCTTCAACTTCATGTTGGCATGACCAGCTGGTTCTACTTCCAGAATATATCTCCTGTCCATCTTCTCTCCATATTTAATACTACTACGCTGTTTCAGGCTATTGTCATCTCTTGCCTTGACCATTATTAGAGCCTCCTGTTTCAGTGGTTTCCCATTCCACCTAAGATATTTTTGCTGGGTATAGCATTCTGGGTTGGGAGCAATTTTCTTCCGTTACTGTACAAATGCTCTACCATTGTCTTTCCCCTCTTATCATTTCTGTTGAAAACTCAGCTGTATATCTTGTTTCTGTTTATTTAAAAAAAACCAAACAAACAAAACATGTATACCCTCTCCCCTCCATGACTTCCCCTGCTGCCAGCTGCTTTTAGGATATTCTCTATCTTTAGTTTTCAACAGTGTTACCGTTATGTGCCTATGTGTGATTTTCTTTGTATTTGTTCTCACTGGAGTTTACAGAGCTTCTTGAGTGTACAACTTGATGATTTTAGTTAGTTTTGGAAAATTCTAAGCCTGTATTCTTTAAATATTCCTTCAGTCCCATTCTGTCTCTCCTTAGTTTCTAATGTCATGCATTTTAGCCATTTTCCTTGTGTCCCATGTTGCCATAGCTCTTTTCTTCCCTTTTTTTTTTTTTTTCTTGTATCAGTCTGGATATTTTTTACTGGACTTGGTTTCCAGACTGTTAATCTTCTCAGCTATTGTGTGTAATATTTTTTTTAGTTACTAACTTCAGTTCTTGCGTTAAGTTTTAGATTTTTCATTTGGCTCTTGTTTGTAAATTCTAGTTCTTTGGTGCAATTTTAAAAATCTTTTTATCCTTAAAGGACACATTAACCATATCTTTTTAAAAGTCTTATTTGATAACTGCAACATCTGCTTTATCTGTACATCTCTTTCTGTTTTTCACTTTTCTTGTTTCTGGTTTGGTCTTGTTTCTTGCTCTGCCGGGTAAGGTTTAACTAAATCTCAGATGTTTTATGTGAAAAATTAAGAAGGCTATGGATGATAGGAATTCCTATAGAAGGATTTAATCTTCTGGGTTGTAGATGTTGTTTGGGTAGGTCTATTTACAGACTGCCCATACTCCAGAGCCCTTTTGTCCTGGCAATCTGAACTCCAGCCTGGTTTCCGAGCACTACAGTACTGCTAAAGGCTTTGCTCAGCTTTTTAGCCTCTCCACTGCTGCTTTCCGCTTGGTTCATTTTTTTTCCTTGGTTTTTGTGCAGCTTAGGTCATTGACGGAAACTTGCATGCAGCATCTTGGGACCCCCTTACATCTCTTCTCTTTCAAGGTCTCCAGCTCCAGACTCTACCTTTCAGTCCAGCGAGGCTGCAAAAGCTCCCAGCTGCTGCTTTTAGCTGTGTGCTATTTGCAGCTCCAGGAATCAGCAAATTCCTTGAGGAAAGGAGAAGGCCAATATGGGGCTCCCATGGATGGCCTTTCTAATTCTGGGATCTTAGTCCTTTATGTCCTATCTGCCTTTGTTGTTTTCTAATGGCTTCAATCATTTGCTTTATGTAATTTCTCCAGCTTTTATACCTGTTAGAGTAGATGTGATCCAGATTATTCTATTGTGGTCAGAAGTGGAAGTCTTTCATTACACTTCAGTAAAGTCTGTGCTCCTTTCCTCTGGCACAGAAAACTCACCCTGGTCAGCCTTTTGCCTGTCTCTTTTGTACCTTACTCCCACATCCAATAGCTCCAGCCACACGGGATTTCTTTTTTCATTGACTGTATCAAACTTTTTCCCACCTCAGGGATTTTGCATTAAGTCCTTTGACGGCTCTTCCTCAGATTTTTGCATAGAGCTTGCTCTTTGATATTATTTCATCTCAGTTTGCTACTGAGGATGAACAAAATGCTAGTCATCATTATATGACTAACAGATTTTTGCATAGATCCAGCTCCTTGATATTATTGCATCTCAGTTTGTTACATCCTAAGAGATTTCCCTCTCTTTCAGGGCAGCTCCTAGTCACCCTGATGTATTTTCTTCAAAGCACATTTCAATCACTACCTGGTTATTTTACTTACTTTTAAAATTTCCATTTCTCCACTGTAGGGTAAGTTATGTTTCTGCCTGGTGTGTGGTAGAGTCTCAATAAAAATCCTTTGAATGCATGAGTAAATAAATAGATAATCACTGATTCTGAAAGGAATTTTTCAAATCATTCTTTCAAAACCTCAGTAGGGCATAAGGGCATACTATTTTCTTCACCCTAATAGCCTTTTTATGTGGAATATTCTATAAAATACCACTTTTATACATTTATGGTATAATGATGACTAATACCTTGTTCATCTTGATGATCAGATCTTGAACTACTTTTTGTATACAAAGCTTATGTTATATTCATTATCATACTAGTGTTAATTATATTTTTGTTCACATTCTCTAGAAATATTTAATCTGTGCTAATAACTCTTTATCACCCAAAATATTTAATTATCTAAAACCAATAGTACAACTTTCTATTGGTCTTACATGAAATGGTTGTTTTTAAAGTGACATGTTATATCTTTATTTAACAGGAATGGTTTTTGGGAAAAGCATTACATGATGAAGAATCTACAATAATTCACCATTATGCCTTTTCTGAGAATCCTACAGTTTTTAAGTATCCAGACTTTGCTGCAGGCTGGGCCTTAAGTATTCCACTTGTAAACAAGTAAGAATTTATTGGACTTTTTTCAGGGAGGTGGGAAGGGTGTACATCAACTTTAATTTCATTGAGTACAGTAACTGATGGCTCTCAGGATCTCAAATGAGTTTTTCAGCCAGAGGCAGTGTGTGGTGAGACCTGGAAAAGGAGCCTGAGGGTTTCTGCTTCAGCACTGTCATTTACTAGACCCTTCAGACAAATCATTCAACCTCTCTGTATATTCTTCTTACTCATCCACAAAATAATAAGCTGTGAGACTAAGGGAGAAGACAGAAGTGCTCTGAGAACCATGCACATGGAAGCATCATTACTGTTGTTAAGAGATGTACTTAGCTATAGGTGTAACTTCTCTCACCCGTAAGAAAATGAAGCAGTAACATGCTGGGGTTGAGAGTTGATGACTCATTAGGTGCATGGGTGTGCATACTTAAACACAGGCCAGGCAGGAGGACAGCTAGCTAGTGGAAGGTACTATAGGTAATCATAGCTAGCCATTTGTATGTATAATCACAATGGTGCTCTGTTAGATGTGGAAAGCGAAGATGGTTAAATTGTAATTCAGGAGAAATACGGTTGTTGACAAGCCCTTCAGATTAATTATTAAATGTTTTTGTTCTTTAGGGAATAGAGAGTTGATAAAGCACTTGTGACTTTTTTATCTTCAGAGATGAAAGAGTTTCTGTCATTAAGTGTCCTGTCTCTAGGATTTGGGGTCTTCAAAATCTTATTAGCCCATTGTAGATATACAGGATAGTACATACCTTGTCATTCCTGGCTGGACAAAACTTCTTGACTACTTTCACATTTGAAAGTTCTCTACAGTGTGATACCCTCCTTTCCAGTGTAGAATCCAAACAACAAAACAAAACCCCTGTGTTTCCTACCCTTCCTTGCCACTAGGAAGCAGCATATGTTGTAGGTTCCATCAGGTAGATGTGTTATGTACAATTATTTTTGGGAACTGAATTGTGTGGGGAAGGAGACAAAGCATGGGGGACTGTTTGAATTGAGACTCGTAGCAGAGGAAGAGTCAGTTGCGATTGACAGCAGCTTCGTGATGATGGCAGAGTCTGAAGTTCCTACGCTGCTTATTTCTGTGCTACAAATCTGGGGGTTCTTGAATCTTAGCTTACAGTCTGTTTAATCAGACTTTCCAGTAATTCCATGAGCCATCTATATGCTTTAATGAATTTACATTATGCTTTAACTAGCCAGAGTGGATTATTTTTGTTTGTTTGTTTCCAGTTAAGATCCTTGCCGGGCGCGGTGGCTCAAGCCTGTAATCCCAGCACTCTGGGAGGCTGAGGCGGGCCGATCACGGGGTCAGGAGATCGAGACCATCCTGGCTAACACAGTGAAACCCCGTCTCTACTAAAAAAATACAAAAAATTAGCCAGGCGTGGTGGCGGGCTCCTGTAGTCCCAGCTACTCGGGAGGCTGAGGAAGGAGAATGGTGTGAACCCGGGAGGCGGAGCTTGCAGTGAGCCGAGACCACACCACTGCACTCCAGCCTGGGTGACAGAGCAAGACTCTGTCTCAAAAAAAAAAAAAAAAAAAGATCCTTGACTTACACACTCCGTCCTGGGACTGCCAGGCAAGGATGCCTTTCTCCCGTCCCCTACCAAGCATGCCTAACAGCATCTGCACAGCCTCCCTCCCTTCATTCTTAGAAGGGTCAAGGAGGAAGGGGAGTGAAGACAAGAAGAAGTAGTGGTCGTTCCTTTCTCACCATCTGCTGGTCTGCCTGGTTCTGTGCTCTGCAGGGGAGAGGGGAATATGTTCTGCCTTTCAGCAGCCTCGGGTCGTGTTTCTTCTCAAATTAAGTACACTTTGGTTTGCTACAGCTTGAGCACTGGGAGTTCCCAGGACACTCTTTTCCTGCAGTGTCCAGCAGCCTTATGTTTGGGGCCAGTTTAGCCACCTTTGTTGAGTCTGGACTCTTAATGCCTAGAAGCTGTGACCTGCACTTTGTAGGCTGAGCCACTGTTCCTTCTCCCTTCCTCAAGTATTCTTGTCATCCTCGGCCACAGGAGGCTTCCTCTAGCCTTCCTCATTTGGTCTCTGCTTAGTTTTATGGTATGGAAAGATTTGGTCTGACCTCTCCTTGGGAGAAGTCCCACATGGTAGTGATTTTTTCTGACTTGGGACTTATAACCTCTGTGTAAGCCTGTTTCTCTCCCATTTCCCATATACTACGAAGTCCCTTGAGAGAGGAACAAACACAGCTATTGCCTGCCCTGTGAAGTGCTGTAACTGCAGCAGGTGCTTCTTCCTTCAGGGCTAAAGAGGAAACCAGTGGACCCAGGAAGAGCTATATGGCAAGCAGAAGGTCTAATCATTTCCTTGAAGCTAGTATAGCTCTTTTCTTCATCACTGCCTTCTGATCCAGGAGGCCTCTTATCCTGAAGGCAAATCCTTATAGTCTAGAGTTTTACCTTCCTTCTTCCCATCACAATTTCCTATCTTCCTTTAGCAAGACTTTATTGGAGACCTCTTGATGCTGAACTCAATTCAGTTTTTGTTGAATTAGGTGTTAGAAGTAACTATTTATTCTTGCTTCTTTTGACTTACTGTCTTAACCAGGTGCGGGTTGATGGAAGTGATCCTGTTTGAACACATTTTTGACTCCTGGCATCCCTACATAGGGCAGTTCAACCTAACTCTTATTGGCTGACATGCTGGTGTTAAGTTTAACCTGTTCTAGAAAACCTCTGCCCTCTGCTTCACTGCCCATCAGGTGTGGCGGCACCCAGAGCACTGGCAGGCTTTGTTGGCTCTGGCTAGCGCTCACCTCATTACTGTCTCATGCTCACCACATGACTAGCTTCCAGGGGTTCGTGAACCAGGGTTGCAGGTTGTGCACTAGCCGAGATGTTAGCCTTGTTAAGGGGTGACTTTATGTTCTGGATTATCTGGCATTTTGCAAGGTAGTCCCACAGGAGACCCCAGGTCCATGATTCCCTTCCCTGTTGTGTTTGTGAGATCATTGAACCCATCTGTTGACAAGGGAAGGTAGCCAGTGCCCAACTTCCATAGGGGTTTCACATCTCCCTTTCTGGTCAAGTTTAACCGTATTTAGGAGAGAGAACCGAGGGCCGCGTCACTGCAGCAGGGTGTGTAGGCATTTTAGTCTGTTTGGGCTGCTGTAAGAAAATGCCGTAAACCAGGGAGCTTATGAACAACAGCAGTTGATTATAGTTCTGGAGGCGGGAAGTCCAAGGTCAAGGCGCTGGCAGATTCGGCGTCTGGTGAGCGCCGCATTCTGGCTCCGCTCCTTCTTGCTGTGTCCCCTCATCTGGGAGAAGGGTTGAGGGGTCTCTTTTTCTAAGGGTGCAGTCCCATTCATGAGAGTTCCCTCCCCATGGCCTCTTCACCTCCCAAAGGCCCTGCCTCCTAGTAACATCACCTTGAGGGGTAGGACTTCAGCCTATGAATTTGAGAGGGGACACAAACATTCAGACCATAGTAATAGGAACTGTGACTAAGGGAGTTAAAGCCAAGAGGTTAATCTTTTCCACAAAGCTCAGGAAATTCCCAGCACTTCCCCCGTGACTCCAGTATGATAGCGGAGTGAGGCACCAGATAGCCTTCTGCATGCTGAACAGTGACCAACAAACTGTAGAATGTGTATGGTTCATTGATACCCATGGTCTTCTCCCTACCTCCTCTCCCTTTCCCCTGCCAGGAAAGACAAAGCAAAATAAATATGCAGACTTATCATAGTGCCATATTTAAAATTCTAGTTATCTTAGATATTTCCTTTCCTTTCCCCCGATGCTGACAGGTAATCAAGCAAATAAAATGATATAACCCATCTGGCATAACAACTATCTTGTGGTCAAGATATATTTTAAAATGACTTTTCTAGTGGGGATCCTTATTTATTTTTCAAGAAATTGGTATTATACTCAGGACTAGAGGAAGGATAAAGTATCCATTAGCCCCATCAGCTGCAACATTGGATCTTCCTAGTTGTTTTTTTCCCAGTTTTTCCCTAATGTGCTGACTTTATTTCTTCCTATTATTGGCGGCTATATCAATTAGCATGCTTTTGGATGCAAGTAATAGGAAGCAACTCAAACTGGATTAAGGAAATACTTTGCCTGTAATTGGGGTGAGTGAGGTCTGTGGTTGGTTGATCCGGCAGTTTATCGATATCATTGAGGACCCACGCTTTCTCTGTGCCTCTATCCTATAGTACACAGAATCCATTTATCCTAAATCTGGTTCCTCTTGTGGTTTCAAGACCATAAGGGCTACGTATTTCCTGTTTGTATCCAATAGTAGACAGCCTGTTCCCAACCATGAATGGTAAGTGCTTAATCCTCAGTCTGGTTGGGCCAACTGCATATGTGTTCTAATCTCCGGACTGTTAACAGTTGCCTGGGAATTTCATTGATTATTAGAATTATTGGAATTTTCAGTTCTAATCCCCAGAGTATTAACAGTTGCCAGGGAATTTCATTGCTTATTCTGGCTGGCCCAGAGTAATCAGTCTCTGACTCTGGAGCCTGTATAATTGTTGGGCTTAATATTAATCAAAACCAGAATTTGTTTAGGAAGAATGAAGGGGAAACTATTTACATGGACAACCAACAGGGCCAGTCCAGGAATGCTGATTCCCTTTGTGTCCTTTCCTTGACTTTATGGCCCACATTGTAGGTAACGCAACAACTTACAGTTACTTAAGTATTTCTTCTGCCCTAGTCTCCAGCACAACTGGTTACCTAAAGATATTTCATGAGGCACGCTTTCTTAGACTATTTCCCACTGAAATTTTATTTGGCCTAACAATTCCACATCAGTGAGTTTTGAGTTCACACTGCCTAATATTTCCTGGCAATCCATCCATTTGATCAATTAAAACAAATTGATTTTGAAGTCATGTGGCATGAGTCCAAATCCCAAAGTTACCTTGATACAGTTTATTTATGAATAAATATTTTCCTTTTTGGAGAAATTTTCGTTAACTTCCAATAAGATGATTCCTTCAAAAATCATCTTATTAAAAAAATCGTTACAGGACACTGTTTCTGGTTTTCGCCATTGTTTTTCCACCGGCAAACCTTATCGAGATTTCCTTCAGCAGGTTGCTCTGTTGACTGATTGACAAGTGGGATTGAAAAAGCCAGCTAGGTATTGAGTTGAAAGGGCCCTCGGTCATTTGCACGTCTGTAGCCTAGGTGGTTGTGTTGTTAGAACTGTGCCATTGGGGGCATGACTTAACTTATTTATTTATATTTTTTTTGAGACAGAGTCTTGCTCTGTCACCCAGGCTGGAGTGCAGTGGCACGATCTTGGCTCACTGCAAGCTCCACCTCCTAGGTTCACGCCATTCTCCTGCCTCAGCCTCCCGAGTAGCTGGGACTGCAGGCTCCCGCCACCATGCCCGGCTAATTTTTTGTATTTTTAGTAGAGATGATGTCAGTCACCCAGTCACCTTGCAAACAAGTTCAAGTTCTAAGAGTGTGCAGGGTGACCCAACTAACTTAAATGGCAATACCTAATAGTGCTAACTGGATTTCGTTTTTCTATGAAGGCAAGATATGAAGCAGGGTTTTTCCAATGCTAGTTCAGTAACCAACAATACCAAAAAAACCAATGAAAGCCAGAAATTCCAGTTACTCAGATGAAGATGTTCCCTCATTAAATATTCAGTTCCTGGCAAATATGAAAGTTTAAGGCTTCCCAATTTTTAGAAGTTATTGGGCCGGTGTGGTGGCTCATGCCTGTAATCTCAGCACTGTTGGGAGGTCAAGGCAAGTGGATCCACGAGTCAGGAGATCGAGACGCCATCCTGGCTAACACGGTGAAACCCG